AGAAGATTCTTCATCCTATTTACTATGCCAGCAAAGCTATAAATGTGGCTCAAACGAACTATACAATGATTGAATAGGAACTCCTTGCTTTGGTTTTTGCATTCGAGAAATTTCGATCCTATTTGCTTCATACTAAAGGTCATAGTGCATACTGACCATTCTGCATTTAGGTATATGTTAGGTAAGAAGGATGCAAAACCGAGGTTGATTAGATGGGTATTGTTGCTGCAAGAGTTTGATTTTGAGGTGTAAGACAGAAAGGGGACAGAAAATTAAGTGGCCGATCATTTGTCCAGATTAGTGGAGGAAGCTATGCTCAATCTAGGAGATGGGGATAAAATTAATGATGCGTTTCCAGATGAACAATTATTGGCTTTTTCTCATGACTTATTTCTTGGATCGTAGACTTTGCTAACTACATGGCAAGTGATCTGGTCCCATCGGATTTGTCTTTTCACCAAAGGAAAAAGTTTATGCAAGATGTGAAGAAGTTCTTCTGGGATGAGCCTTATTTGTTCCGTATTTGTACTAATGGGATTATTCGTCGTTGTGTGCCCGAGGTTGAGATGTTGAGTATACTAGAGGCGTGTCATTCATCGCCTGTTGGTGGGCATCATAGTGCTATTCGGACATCACATAAAATCTTGCAGTTTGGTATTATTGGCCTACCATCCACCAAGATGTTCATGATTTCTCCAAGTCGTGTGATCATTGCCAAAGAGAAGGAGGAATTTCAAAGAGGCAAGAGCTACCTATGAATCCGATCTTGGTGATTGAGTTTTTTGATGTTTGGGGCATTGATTTTATGGGTCCATTTGTGAGTTCACATGGGATGAAGTATATTCTTGTTGCGGTTGATTATGTGTCGAAATGGGTGGAAGCAATTGCGCTTTCAAACAATGAAGGTAAAAGTGTCACCGCATTTCTGAAAAAGATTATCTTCTCCCGATTTGGTACACCTAGGGCGATTATCAGCAATGGAGGTTCCCACTTTTGCAATAAGTTGTTCAAGGCCTTGTTAGAGAAATATGGAGTCTGTCACAATATAGCCACTCCATACCATCCGCAGTCTAGTGGGGAAGTTGATGTGTCCAATAGAGAAATTAAGCAAATCCTTTCTAAGATTGTGAATGCTAATATAACTGATTGGTCTAGAAGGCTTGCTGATGCTCTATGGGCATATCGCACCGCATTCAAGACTCCAATAAGTGTGTGCCCCAACCAACTTGTATATGGGAAGTCTTGCCATTTGCCGGTAAAGCTAGAGCATAAAGCTATGTGGGCGCTAAAGAAGTTAAATTTGGATTGGGGCACCGCATCGAGTAACAGAGTAAGTAACATGAACGAGCTTGATGAGTTTCGCCTAAAAGATTATGAAAGTTCAGCCTTGTACAAAGAGAAGATGAAGAAGTATCATGATCAAAAGATCGAAAAGCATGAATTTGTTGTGGGTGATCTGGTGCTCCTATTCAACTCTAGGTTGCAGTTATTTCCTGGCAAGCTCAAGTCCAAGTGGAATGGGCCATTCATAGTCACTCAATTAATCCCGCATGGAGCGATCGAGCTCGAAAACAATGAGGGAACAAGGTTCAAGGTAAATGGGCAAAGGATCAAGGTCTACATGGGAAAAGAGGAGAATGTGCGAGAGGTGGTTGAGGTGTACTATCTTGATGAAGTCTGAGTAATCAAGAGGCATGCGTCTTGCCGTGACGTTAAATCAAGCGCTGCTTGGGAGGCAACCCAAGATGTACAATCTAGCCAACTATAGGTTTTTCTTTTCGATTTAGGAGTTATCTTTGTTTTATTTGATTTACTGTAATTCTTTAGGTTGCTAGTTTATTTATGTTTTAGTGTTGGCTAGATATAGCATATGCTCTGTGTCTAAAAAAAGTGTCCAGAAAATGTAAAAAGAAAGGCCTAACGGTTGCTACATATGCTTGGATGAAAACCAAAATCTGCAGAAAAATGTTTGTTGCAGAGGTCTACGGACCCCATCGACGGTCCGTGGTTTCATGCACAGACCGTGAATAGTGGTCGTAGACCACCAACTAAGTTTTCAAAATTTTCTAGGTACTAAGTAACCTACCGACCCAACCCACAGTCCATAGGTTGACCCACAGCCCGTAGACAAGGTTTCATGGGTCCAAAGTTAGGGTTCTGTCGACTTGACTCGGACCCCTTTCTAATAAAACTCTTCATTTTTTATTCTTCCCCCACTTCCCATATTCCCTCTGAACCATTTCTAACCCCTCCATATCCCATAACTCACTCATTATATCCCCAAATCACTCTTATCTCCCATACATATCATCCCTCATACCATATTTCCATTCCTCTCTCTCCCAAATCTGATCACTCCCATTTTTGCCTTCCCAAGAAGAGTTCAAGGTTCGGGTTCGGTGTCACAAAGGTCTAAGGAGTTTTAGCATCACACAATCACCCACTTCCATTAATTGTAAGGTAAACGATTTCAACTTAACTCTGAATTTTGGTATTCATTGTTCAATATTTGAAGTCATGAAGTGGATCTTGACCTTGGGTTGTTTTTGTATGAAAATCCATGATAAACAATAGTTAGAAACACCCTTGGGATGATAGAATGTATTGTGTTCGTCTTTGTAATCAAATAACTTTGGGTAAATAGTCTAAATGGAAGTTTTGACTTAGGGTTCCTAGTTTTGTATGTAATAAATGTGAAATAATAAGTAATTGGAACCCTAGGGATGACAAACTATCAAATATTGTGTTGAAATGCATGATTAAACTTAAGGTGATTGTTGAATTGTTGAGAAAAATGGTTTAAGAATGAGGCATGTCTGATACCTGGCACAGATCTAACCCACGAGACTTCGTCTAGGGACCGTAGGTCAACCTACGGACCGTAGATCAGGTCCGTGGGTTTGTTGCACATGGAGAATCCACTAAGTGTGGAACAACGGAAGTGGACTACGGTTCGTAGGTCAACCTACGAACCGTTCTGCACATCCGTCGTTCCCATCAGAGCCCAAATTTTTAGAATCTCTGACCTACGGAGGGAACCCACGGACCGTAGGTGGCCACTGAAGCTATTGTCTGATTTATTTATTTTTCGAAAATTCTTTTAACTGCGTTATTGGTTTGTTTTGGTACTAACTAAACCTCCAAAGGTACCATGGCTCCTAAGAAAGCACCGACCTACGCATAAAAGGGCAAGTTCAAATCTGTGGTGCCGACTCTTCGGCTAATTAATGAAGATACTTATATGGAGAAGGATCCCTCCTATGTCCCACCTACTACTAGGACAACTGCACCTCAGACTAGTCACTGCCTCCTAGTCTGATGAGGAGGATACACTGATCGGTTCACCGGCTGGGTCTGCTTCCGACTCTGAGTCCGCCTCAGCTTTCGGATCCGCATCCGGTTCTAGTTCACATGGGAAGACTGCCTCGTCTGATGAGGCTACTAGTGCTAGGGTCATTCCCCTACCACCTAACATCGAGACCGCTGCAATTGCTGAGGAGCTAAACCGGTGGTGTGTTAATGGTAAGTGGAAGATTAACAGGGATGCCAGGATGATAACTGAGAAGGAGAGGATGGCTCGTTCAGTCTTTGATGAGCGTTGGGTTTGCAAAGGCAGCTTGCACACCGTTCCCACCATTCATGAGCTCTTCAAAAGACACAGTTGCGAGTGGATGGCCCGTAATCCAGGATCTTACAGCGAGGAGATCGTGAGGGAGTTTTATGTTTCCTACGTAGCCACCGTCCGAGGTTCGATTGAAAAATGGGCGAAGCCATCTGCCTAGCCTCCTCTCAAGGCTACACTGGTTCCTGGGGTTTCGGTTGACATATCAAAGGCTACTATTCGTAGATTCCTATATGGCTCGGGCCATACTCTAGCAATCAACACGACAGAGTTTGATTATCAATGGGATATCGTAAGGAGCAGAGCATTCCAACGGAATACAGAGCAAAAGGAGGATTTTTTGCATTGGTTGGCCAGCAACCCGAGTGCAGGCATCAAAAAGGCCACTTTGACTTTTGTGGCAAAATTCTTCTGGTTGTTAGTGTGAAACAGGGTATCTCTTATGCAAGCCGACAATGTTCTTACTTGGCACCACGCAGTCATGGTGGAAACCCTAGTTTCTGGTTTTGAGATGGACTTTGCCTGCATGATTATTGTGGAGATTCAGGAGAGGGCTTTCAAGGCCACCATTACTTACCCATTTTTATGCCTCATCTTTCAGTTGTGCATGGACTCTGGAGTGCCGGTCTAGCATTGTGATAAGTTGATCCAGGCGACCAAGACCCTGGATATAGGCCTGATTCGAGATGAGGTGAATGTGGCGGCACCACGCAGAGAGCCGCAGGTTGAGGTATATCCATTGGGAGCAGACTTTGTTGCCGATGTGGAGCAGATGCAGGGTGATGAGCCTGCCCCTCCAGCCCCCACTGAGGATTCTCCGGCCTCCCATTCGTCGGCCGCTAGTCAGGCTCGAATCCAGAAGTTGAAGGCCCAGCTGGCCTCATTACTCCAGCTTATTAGGCCTTGGATGAAATGGGTGATTGATGAGTCCGCGACTAGGGTAGAGCAACGGATGGAGCAGATGATGGACAGAAAGGTTCAGGTTGTTCACCAGCGTCTTGATGCATTCGAGTTACGTGTCTTGGAGCGACCTGCCCCCACCACATATGTGTCTTTTTTCCAAACGGAGCTAGCTAGTCTCTGGGCTAATCTTGACACACTCATAGCTCCACCAGAGACAGAGCCTGCTTCAGCCCCCATGACACCGATTGATAATATGATGTTTGATGCTTTATTTGGGGATGAGATGCCACCTCTTACTTATTCCCTTCATGCTGAGAAGCGCCCCCACTCTAGTTGGGCTTCTGATGATACTGAGACCGTGAGAGTTAGCAAGAGGGAGTGCCAAGAGACTGAGGCGGCTCGGAGGGATTCTATCATTGATAAGGAGTTGCGACATTAGAGGCTTAGGTGGATTGGCGTTGGTGCCTCAAGCAGTATGAGCACTATTGATGGTGCGGTGAGAGTTGAGGTTAGCACTACTAAGGGTGCTGAGGTTATTGATGCGGGCACTACTGAGGGTGACCCGTGTGTTGATCCAATGGGATCCTGGAAACTGAACCCACCTACTTGTTGATAGGTCTTCGACGCTATCTGCCACATGTTTGCTTCACCCGATTCTTTGTTCTTTAGTTTTGTGCATTGGGGACATTTGCACTCTATTTTGTTGGGTGTGGGATAAACGGATTGTGAGTGATAGGGTGAAGTCTGAGTAATCCAACTCATAATCTTCTCTTGGGGTTTTATTGCCTGTGTTCTTTTCCCCTTAAGAGACTGTATTAATTTCTGTTGAACCGGCATGTGTTAGGATTGTATGTGTAGAAGCATGAAAAAGAATGAAGCATAATGGCATAATTAAGAATGAAAAATGATACCCGGTCAAAACTTTTGATATGTACTAAAATCTGTAGGCTAGAATGAGTTGAATGTGTTGGCTCTGAATGTGACATGATAAGAACCGATTTGACCTCATGACTTAAGCTAAAAACTTGAACTGGGTAATCTAATAATCTGATAATGAAACAAGGTGCCAAGAGTGTGTGTAAATAGTTTAATGTTCAGATAGTTTTGTGCAAATCTAGAACTTGCCCCGTTGGTTCAGCTAGGATAATCTAGGCTAGAAGTTGGGAAGTGATCATAGGCCATTGTTCAAATTAGTCCACTTAAGCCTAAAATGATCTAACCAAATATTAGCATTAATCCCTTTTGATCCAAATATTTGAGCCTAAAATTGACCATTTCTTTTGATTCACCTAACTCACCTTCCCTTAAAATATTGTCTTGGCCTCGGTACCTCCTTGGACATGTGCACCTTGACTTAGCCTAAACGCCTAAGTTGAGGGTGGCTAAGCCAAAATTTACCTCGATCTTAGCCCTCGTTTGACATCGGACATTGTGCACCTCAACTAATGCAAAATGCATAGGTTGAGGGTGGCAATGAAAGAGGAAACCCAATGAAAAAAGGGTATGAAAAGAGTTGTGTGTTAAAAAGAGAAAAAAAGAAAGAGGATGTGGCTTTTTGCATAAAGAAGCAAAAGAAAAGTGTTGAAAGAAATAAAATAAAAATGAATTGAAAGAAAAAGAATAAAGTGAGAAATAAGAGTCAAAAAGTCAAAGGTCACATCCATGTTGCAAAGAGTTGAGGAAAAGAAAGTGAAATGAAAAGATGCCAAAAATAGGTGAAAGAAGAGGTAAATAGCCAATGTAATGTCAAGGAGGGCAATAAGTCACTAAAAAGTACCCAAATGTACAACACCTGACCCTGAGCCTACGTTACAAGCTAAGAAAGTCATGTAGTGATCCTAGCAACTAGTTTGGAGAGTCTAAGTAGTGAAAATAAGGGCAAGCTTATGGCATTGAGCACTAACTGTACTTGAAGTTACTTCTGAGCGTGAGTGTTGAATGAATCATTGTACTTAAAATCATATGCATTGTGTGAAAAAAGGGATTTCGTTTGAATTAAGGGCACTAGTTTCATTGTCGGAAAGTTGGTGCCTTAGTGATGGTCAAAAAGTGTATGTTGTGGGTCTATTGGTCGATCTTTGTCATATCTTGATCCGCATGAGCTTGTTTAGTCTAAGAGAAAAGATTTGCACTCGGAAAGGGAGTCGGGATAGAAAGCCATGTGATTGCTTGTGTTTGAATGTCTGTTTCTATACAAGTGTCGTTAAGAGTCTTAGTGTGTCGCTTGAGGACAAACAATAAATTTAAGTTGAGGGTGTAGATATACCGTGAGTTTATGCTATTTTTAATATATTTCACTTAAGAGTTGTGTGTGTCTAGGGCCATTTTGTATTAGAATTAATGTTTTTACGTTATATTTGAAGGAAATAGGCTTGGACGAGGTTGAGAGAGACAACAACTGAATTTCTGCAGAAGGAGTCACCTGCGGAGGTGACCTACGGACCGTAGGTCCAGGCACGCTCCGTAGGTTGGTGGCGTAGATGGAGCATCAGGGAAGTCTTGACCAAGTGTGGAACCACAGTGGCCATTGACGGACCGTAGGTCGGCCTACGGGCCGTCCTTCATGTCCGTCATTTGTATTAGAAAGTCTGAGTTCCAGTACCTGATGAGAAAGTCTAAGTATGGAACCACGTGAGGGGACCCACTGACCGTAGGTCAACCTACGGTCCGTTCTGCATGTCTGTCGTTTGCATCAGAAAGTTGAAGGTTCCAACCTCTATGGAAAAGTTCTAAGTCCTGAGCTACGGAAGGGACCTGTGGGTCGTAGGTCGATCCACGGTCCATAGGTCAGTCTCATCGATTGAAGCCGCGTCTAGCATTTTATTTCCTTACTTCTTTTCCTTTTTGTTTGGGACTATGTTTTCTATAAATAGGGTATGTAAACCTCGTTTTTGGGGGTTAGCTAATATTGTTTAACTTTAGTTCTTGGTGTGTTCTTGGGAATTAACTTGCAAACATTCGCACTTTGATTTCCTAATTTTGGTAATAAAGATTATTGCTTTGAATTTCGATTAAAGATTTTGGGTTTCTTTTACTTATTACGTAAGTTCATGAATTCTTCTTCTAACAATATGAATTGTGTTCTTGCTAATATGGGTAACTAAATCCACAACTAGGGTTGTAGGAACCATGAGCGATTAACCAAATATGAATAATAACTAAGTAATTCTTGAATAGTATTGATGCATGCATTGGTAATTATTTCTCTTAGAAGTCATTTTAACGAGTGCCCACGTTAGAACTCGCCTTGTTGCTACTTGTATAACCAAGGACGTAGTTAATAAGAAAAGAATTATGAACAGAGAATTAGTGTGGTACTATCTAATAGTCAAATGTCAATTGGTGCGAGGGTGAAAACTAAGTCATACATTGATGTGATGTCTAATCTGAGGTAAAGGTAAGGGTTAGTAAATTATTCACATGTAGCCGGACCAAGGTGCGGGGTGAAATTTCTTATTTTGTGGATCAAGCACTTAGGGATACATATCTTACCACTTTGCTTGTGATACACTAGGATAGGATTACTATTATTAGGATTATCGCGTTATGAGATTATGGGGAACACATTCCTAGTTATTTCTAATAACTGAATATAAATAAATACTTAGTTCAAAGCTATTTTTATTGGGGTTTTTTCATTTTAAATCCCCCCATTTTTATATAGCGACTAATGAGTTAAATATTTGCTATTGACAATATTCTTCCATATTCTCTGTGGGATCTACTCGACTCATAGTTAGGTAAATATATTGCATACGACCATTTATATTTCTTGAAAAGAAATATATTTGGACGTTGTCAAGATTGGCGCCGCTGTCGAGGAATGTGGCTTAGAAATTGTCTTTAGTATTTATTTTGACTTGTAGTCCTTTTTTGTTTCTTAGGATTAGTTTTAAATTAGTTTTTTTATTTGTTATTATTATCATATTTCTTTTACTCTTGTTGAGATGTCATCTGACAAAGTATGTAGTGATAAGTGTCCTTGCAATTCTTGTACTTTTGATATTATGGATTCTTAAAGGATAATATTTTCTCAACAAGATAAGTTGTATGGGGACATGAAAGATTTGTTAATACTTTGCTATAAATCAATATGTAAAGCGCATGCTTGAAGATATCTTTGGTTTTATCTCTATTATTTAGATTGTGAGTTGAGTGCAAAGATTAAATCATATGACACCCAACAATTTAGTTATAATATGTGTGAGGAAGAAAAGATACTTATGAGTCAACTTGAAGACCTAAAAGTTGAGGGCCAATTGATTGATCATACTTTTATTGATGTTGTCATTTTTGAGAAGAATACACTAGAGTTATGTAATGAAGTAGATAATATTATATTTAAAAACTCTAGTATCTGTAAATATGAGGGTGTAAATAATAATACAATTCATAAGTTAGGGTGCACTAGACCTCATTCCAATCATTTTTTTCACATTGTGTTTAGATGATGAAACATTAATCCAACCATATGAGCCTATAGAAGAGTGTATGGGGGAGGAACAATGT